CTCTCAATTCTTGTTCAACTTTGTCGTCGATATACTTTTAGAGATAACACTTTCTTCGTCTAGATTTCCAGGGGTTGAACTTCTACCGGGAGGTCCACTTGTTGACTTAGAATATGCTGATGACATAGTTTTATTCGGTGAAGACGCTGACAAAATGCAGAGTCTTCTGACCACTCTAAGCAACAATGCAAGCATGTTCGGGATGCGATTCTCTCCCTCGAAATGCAAAATGTTGCTTCAGGATTGGGTTACATCGACACCCGAACTAGTGATAGAGAGTGAAGTAGTTGAGTGTGTCGATCGCTTCACTTATCTTGGAAGTCTCATCAGCCCTTGTGGTCTGGTGTGTGACGAAATCTCAGCACGGATACAGAAGGCTCGACTAGCTTTCGCCAACTTGCGTCATTTATGGCGTAGGCGAGATATCCGTCTATCAACCAAAGGACGTGTTTACTGCGCAGCAGTACGCCCCGTCCTACTTTATGGCAGTAAAACATGGCCGGTAAGAGTAGAGGATATTCGTAGGTTACTAGTATTCGATAATAGGTGTCTTCGAAACATTGCTCGTATATCATGGGACGATCGAGTAAGTAACACAGTTGTTAGGAAACGGGTACTAGGTAAGGATGACAAATCAATTGATGAAGTAGTGAAACTTCATCAGTTGAGATGGCTGGGACACGTGTTACGTATGCCCAACGACCGACTGCCTCGACGTGCGGTGTTCAGTGGTATAGGAGTAGATTGGAAGAAAACTAGGGGTGGCCAGACCAAAACATGGCACAAGTCCATGAAGTCACTGACAAGTGGTCTGAGTCATGTTGGTAGGTGTAGACTACCTGGTTGGGGACCGCGAGATGATAGCAACCGATGGTTAGAGACCGTGAATGACATGGCTCAAAATCGTTTGCAATGGCGCAGGTGCATCCACTCTTTGTGTTCTCCCAAATTCTAGTTATCTGAATTCTTCATGTCCCTTTTTTCCTCTTTCCAAATTTATTTCACTGAATTATACTCTTTAAATAACATCTCCAAACCCTAATCTTCCCGATCACTGCTTACACTCTTGCTACCTCTACGGGATTTGGATCGACAACTGCATCTCTTTGTTAAGGTGGTGTGGCAACTCGAACTGATGTACGTACGTACTAAGTTCTACGTTGTCACTGACTGACTGATAAGAACCTCAGAAGTTTTGTTTTAAATTATGTGTTTGCTTTTAGACTTCGATCATGGAAGTAGCTATGCTTTGAGGGCAAATCAACTTGTTATGCTTCATTATTAGGATACGTGATATATTATGTGGGACGATCAGTCAATTACAGAAAAAATACGCATCGTGGTGCTAGTCTAGTCTATACTGTTCTTTTTATGAGGCTTTTGAAAGAAGTAACAACTAAACACTTAAATACAAATATGAGAATGATATGATAAGGTATGATTTAAAACAACTTTTTAGGATGATTCTGAAAGAAACCGATTCATGTGGTTGGATCAAAATCAATAGTGATTATTCAATGACTCAGATGTTTGTAGGAAACCCTTGCTGATGAGCAGAAAGAAGACTTTGTCAATGATCTTCTGTAAATCTTTAGCTAAGATCAGAGAAAGTAAACTGTTGTATTAAATCATTTGACCTGGAAACTAAATTACTTCTTAATCAATAGAATTCTATTAACACTCAGAACGAAATAGAAGAGCATTCAGTGTTTAGTCCGTTGTCTTCAATATCTAATCAACTCACTATCCTTCATATGAATTACACATGATGATTCAATGTTTTCTTCAATCCTAGTTATTAGAATCCATATTGCAGAAAGGCTTATATTTACGTGAATAAGAATTATTGACAAACATCAGTAAATACCACTTTTATGTTTGAAGATTATTTTCACTTATTATCCATAATCATTTATCGATAGTTTGAATACATTAATAATCTATGAATAGAAAGTTGACTAGTACATATATTCTCATATATAATTAAGTATTTAGTTATTTTAAAAAAGAATATTATTTATATATGATTGAATTGGTCCACGACAGAAAGCCTATAGGTTAACTAACAAATGTCAACGTATAGGAATCTTTACGTATGTTGCTTCCTGTCAATAAAATGAATATATATATATATATATATATATATATATATATATATATATATATATATATATAGTGATATGAAAAGCAATAAATAATTAATACTAGGAAATCATTGAATGAATAAAAACAAAATAATTTCATTAATTAATCAGATAAAATATCTATCATAATGATAATTAATGTTTTAAATGAAAGTATAATTTCGTATAATTAAATAATTCTATTTATTCTATAATCATAGAACAAAATCATTTTGATAATGTGTTCATTCATGTATATGTAAATTATGATCTTAATTATATACAATAATGTATGTATAACAATGTGACAATGAATACATTCTACAATACCAACTATTATATAATATCAGAATGGGTTTTGTGGAGATTTTTAGAAATTTCACAAGTTGAAATCATGAGTCAATTGAAGCTAGACCACCGTGGAAAACCCAGAAGCACTGGACGGCCGTTTCGTCCTGGTATGGGACTCCTCAGCAGTGCGCATCCACGAACCCGCCCCCGCGGGATGCGAACCCAGGACCTACTGGTTCCGCGCGCAAGCACTTAACCATTAGACCACTGAGCCGGCATCCAACGGTGTTAATGTCTAACTTCAACTAATCCACGAAATTGAACGAAACATTCACCATTGTCATCAGTGAGTTACTATCTCACAACAAACCCGGTTAAACTCCACTGGCCACTGCTTCTCACTAGAACCCAAGGATATACTTCTTAAAGCCAGTCACTACTGAACATATGTTGATTAGTATCAGAAGGGGTTTGTGTGGATATTATAGATTACTATAATTACTATAAATTACTATAATATCCACAAAAACCCCTTCTGATACAAATAATGAATTATAAGTTTATTATATAATACAAAATTAATTTCAACTAAAGTTCATATTTCCATGTTTTTCTAATGAATAAAAAGTATACATCACTATAGTTAAATTATAATCATTAATAATGTTTTTGTATTATGATATAAACTAGTTAGTATTAAATAAATGATCTTAATTTCATTATATTAGTTAAATAAGCACCTTCATATTTATTGTGATGAGTCCCATGCCAGAACGAAACGGCCGTCCAGTGCTCCCAGGTTTTCCATGGTGGTCTAGCTTCAATTGACTCATGATTTCAACCAGTGATATGTAATAATGTATTATTTTACAGTTTTTCAACATAATCAGAAATTACCACCTTGTCACTTACTAAAATTGTTCAGCATTTAACTTCATAGAATTCATCTTTTGTACAAAAAGCGTTTTTCTTCCATCTTATAATCAGTTGAATTTCTCAGTTGATAACTGGACATGCACACTTTAAACGCCATATGTTCTATTCTTACATACACAGGAGAAAGTTAAATGCATCATCTAAACTAAGTGGGTTTATTCGATCACTGAATATAGCATATACAAAGACATTTTATTTTTTATGTTGGAATGACTTCAAAAAGCAAGACGAAGCCTCCTGATGCTATAAAGAAGACAGAGATTCCGTCCAATAAACAAGTTGTCTACTTTTTTACTTGTTTCTGAGCTTCAGAGACCTTAGTGATTGACAACGGCTCACAATTCATTTCGGAGCCATTCAAGCACTACTGTAGTGTGAATGGAATAACACATATACGCTCTCTACCTTATCATATTCAATCGAACGAAAAGACAGAACGCTTTGTCGATACCCCTAAAATAGCATTACTAAAAGGCAGAGACAAGGAGAAAACTAGTCAGGTAATCACAAAATTATGTACAGCTTATAGAACTACACCCAGGCGAAAAGTCATGTTTGGAAGAAGTATTAGGACTATTTCCAACGGTATAATGCCACCTAAAATAGTGGATGGGCACATACGAAATCAAAACATTCATCAGACATAAGAAACAAATCCATATAGACAGAAGGACGATGCACACCAGAGACGGCAAAGCGAATGTACTATTAGAGGTAATTACATATATTTCAATGACAGATACGTCCAAGACTATCAGAAGGAACAAAAGAATGAAGATTTGGACAAGGAAGATAACAAAATTATAGAACACTATCGCAAACCAGTTATCAAGTTACAAGTGGACCCCAAAAGACATTATTGATACGTATCAGAAAAGCAAGTCCCCGACTCAAAGAAAACTAGTCTACCTCACTTATTCAAATTCTCATCAATTAATGATATTAACAGCTAACTATATTTAAGTTTAAGCCATGTATGTTAAATGATCAATGATCAATAAAATATATTATGCTACCTAGCTTTCTGTCCCGAGAAATGGAGACAGACATGAAAAGAATGAACAACAATTAGATAAAATTAGAAAGGAATGACCAGGACAAAGTGGGTTGGAGAATGCTAGTCGGCGGTCTATGCTCCATAAGAGGTAACAGGCGTTAGTAAATAAGTAAGTACCTAGCTCCATGTACTAAGTGAATCGACCAAGTCTATAATTTGGTCATAATTTTATAGGCCGGACTTCAATCTAATATTTTTTTAACAACTGATAAGTGTTTATCATCTTAAATACTATTTACATTACCATCTACTCTCAATTGTTAAATTACTGTAAAAAAGACAGAACCATAGATTTATCATGTTTTCATTTTCGACTTTAAAAGTCTACCGATTCTAATTGAGACACTTTCAAATCTCTTACAAAGCCCCTTCAAAAAACATTCTTCTTCTTAATAATATATATAAGGATTATGCGTTCAATGCTTTTAATGAAAGTTCTACTTAATATTAATTGTTCATTTCCTAATAGGTCAAACAAATTGCTGTTGAGTTTACATGACAGTAATTAAATGTTTTTTGTTTTAATTTCTTTTTAATCATTTATGGAATTTAAGTTACTTTACTTTATTTTAATTGTTTGATCTTTAATTCATATGACAATAAATATGAACATTAAAAAGGTACACAAACAAAGATATAACCGTAACTAGGATAAAAAAACAAGTAGAGACAAGTATCAACAAATAAACAGACATCAGTTTAGGTCAATAGGAATGAGGAAATTTACTAGTTGGTTAACATGTTTTTTATTATATAGTTAACTACATCATTCATATCCCTTCTATTAGCACACATACACATATATCTATCATTTATTTTCTCCTTCCTACTAACATTCTAGTCTTCTTTCAAACACATAAAAGTAGAATGTCAAAAACTTCATTATAAACTAAATTGGTTTATTTGACCATTAAATTAAGGTCACGGAAGTTTAATTCTGTAAGTATAATGATTACCATTATTAGTGGTTTTATTTGACCAAAGGGAGCTATAAAAATAATTTACGTGCAACGGAAAAACGAAGAAGCTATAGTTACATTTTTAATAATATAATAATTAGCATCATGATGATGATGATGATGATGATGATGATGATGATGATGATGATGATGATGATGATGATGATGATGATGATGATGATGATGATGATGATGATGATGATGATGATGATGATGATGATGATGATGATGATGATGATGATGATGATGATGATGATGATGATGATGATGATGATGATGATGATGATGATGATGATGATGATGATGATGATGATGATGATGATGATGATGATGATGATGATGATGATGATGATGATGATGATGATGATGATGATGATGATGATGATGATGATGATGATGATGATGATGATGATGATGATGATGATGATGATGATGATGATGATGATGATGATGATGATGATGATGATGATGATGATGATGATGATGATGATGATGATGATGATGATGATGATGATGATGATGATGATGATGATGATGATGATGATGATGATGATGATGATGATGATGATGATGATGATGATGATGATGATGATGATGATGATGATGATGATGATGATGATGATGATGATGATGATGATGATGATGATGATGATGATGATGATGATGATGATGATGATGATGATGATGATGATGATGATGATGATGATGATGATGATGATGATGATGATGATGATGATGATGATGATGATGATGATGATGATGATGATGATGATGATGATGATGATGATGATGATGATGATGATGATGATGATGATGATGATGATGATGATGATGATGATGATGATGATGATGATGATGATGATGATGATGATGATGATGATGATGATGATGATGATGATGATGATGATGATGATGATGATGATGATGATGATGATGATGATGATGATGATGATGATGATGATGATGATGATGATGATGATGATGATGATGATGATGATGATGATGATGATGATGATGATGATGATGATGATGATGATGATGATGATGATGATGATGATGATGATGATGATGATGATGATGATGATGATGATGATGATGATGATGATGATGATGATGATGATGATGATGATGATAATCAATATATAATAATTATAACAACATAATTCTAATGTTTGCTGTAATTCAAATTAATAAATTTCATCCATTAAATTTTGAATGTAAATCATCACAATAGATCACGATTTAAATGGAGTTTTTGTTGTTTTAATTGCTTTAACCTATATTCATGCCGAATGGTATTAAACATGTTTATATAGTTTGGCATTGCATATATAATTATGTTTTAACAATGAACTTACTAATAATTATCGTCATATTGTAAAGATTTTAGAAAATACATTTAAATATCGTGACCTGATTGTTTCAGATTGATTTTTCAAAGGTATAGTTTAAACAATTGTCCATAGGTCAACATCACGGTGTTGTATAAATGAGTCAGTCGGTCAATATGCTTTTCAACTGTGCTACATGTAAGGTGCATTTTCTGATAATCAACAAATGAAGTAAATGTTATTGTTTGACTATTTTATACTGGTCATTTGTGTCATAGGAATCCATTAATTTGTGCACTTTATTACCCTAAAACATCAAATACTGTGAACTGTAGATAATCCAACCCATCATTACAACCTGTGATATATCATTCATAGAGTTTGTCAATAAAAACAGTTAAAAATCGTTTAGTTTTATATAATTATTTTAACGGAAAAGAGTGCGTAATCGGGTGAATATTTATTATATTAAATGTTGGATCTTAGCTGTCATCGTTCAATTGTTTACGTGAATAAAATATATGCTCTTCTTGCTGTTGTTCTGAGCATCACTTAATTCTTATGTCATCGTCAACTTGATGTTTAGTAGTATGTCTGGTTTGCTTCATCCGATCACTTTGATACTTATTTAATCGATAAGTAACAGAACCGTCTAATTTTGAATGTATATAATGGACGAATATAAATCTGTGTTGAATGTGTGGAGATAGGCCTGACAAGCTTATTTTGTAAATAGTTTTTAATATTATTTGTATTTATTTTGTCAACCTTTCACTGTATGTATCTTTCTCATTAAATGATTGTACCTGTTACTTTGGTAAATGACCTTGAACACTGTTTCCGTTTAGTAACTACATAGCTTGACATACTTGTCGTTGTTCTCAAATACACTGCTACACACACACTCCTTGTTCTACTCTCACTCGTTATTGAGCTAATTGCATCCTAAATCGAATATTATTCACATTTATAGACTCTGAGCTGAGACACATCGCACATAACAGTGGATTACATTATTGGAGAGTTCAACAACCTGTACGGAATTATCGAATATTTATAATTGTGGATTTACAATACCAAACCCAACCAGAATACGCAACTCTTGGTGAATTTAAGTAAAGTCCATATTTTTATGTTGTATTAATAACTATCAACGTTATTATTTACTCTTTATAACTTACTTACTTACGCCAGCTAGTCCCAATGGAGCATAGGCCGCCGACCAGCATTCTCCAACCCACTCTGTCCTGGGCCTCCTTTTCTAATTCCATCCAATTCTTTTTCACCTTTTTCATGTCTATTTCCATTTCTCGGCGTAATGTGTTCTTTGGTCTTCCTCTCCTCCTTTGGCCTTGAGGATTCCATGTGAGAGCTTGTCTTGTGACCCAGTTGGGTGCTTTCCGCAATATGTCCTATCCACTTCCAGCGCTTCTTCCTGATTTCTTCCTCCGCTCGGATCTGGTTTGTTATCTCCCACAGTACGTTGTAGCTAATAGTGTCCGGCCAACGGACCTGAAGTATTTTGCGTAGACAACTGTTAATAAACACCTGTATCTTCTGGATGATGGCTTTTGTAGTTCTCCAGGTTTCCGCCCCATACAGTAGAACTGTCTTGATATTTGTATTGAAAATCCTGACCTTGGTGTTGGTTGACAGTTGTTTTGAGTTCCAGATGTTCCTCAGTTATAAATATGTTGCTCTTGCTTTGCCGATCCGCGCCTTCACATCTGCATCAGATCCACCGTGTTCATCAATGATGCTGCCCAAATATGTAAAGGTTTTTACATCTTCCAAATCTTCTCCGTCAATTGTGATTGGATCGGTGCATGCTGTGTTGTATATATATATATAATTCAAATTATTCTTTATAACTTGGTCAACACTTTTTCGCGTTTATATTTGTCTGGTCCACCACAAATGTAATATTTTGATGTCACTAATGACTGATGATTAAATCTCTGTGACTTCTATACTGTGAGCAATCAGCTTCAACTGATCTAAAGTTAAAATACTCTTCGCAAATTTAAGTTTAGCACGAAAAGTAGATCGTAATACATGGGAACAGAGAGCACACAAACATTATGCATCAGAAAATACTTCGGTTCACTTTTCTTTTCCAGAATTGTATTACAGCACTCGTAAACCTGAAATTTTGTTCATTTAGTTTGTACACTTCACAAGTGCTAAACATATAAATTGGTGGTCATTCTATGGGAGAAGATTTAACCCCTAGTCAGTTGAGTTTTTTCAGCTGTAATTAGCCTTATTCATTGTTTATGATGGAGATAACGAAAACAACATTTCTATTGTGACAGATGCTTTTCACCTGCTTACCGATTAATTCGATACAAGTGAACGTATACTACTAGTATATCCTTATCTGATAGAGCAAAAGGTAATTACTTCCATCAAGAAAGTACTAATGTTGAACCGTAGAACTATTTACTAGTCTAAAGCCATAGTATCCTGATGACTATGTACTCCAGAATTCCACTTACTATCACATAATGATGATCGTCTTCTCACTGTTTCACGCAATACCCATTATTTTTATTTCAAGATGAGACGTATAATTTCAATCTCACATCTTGAAGTTCACCGGCCATGATTAGCCCTGTATTAAACCAACTTCACTAATGTCAAGAAAATATTTCTTAACACTTTATTATTACATGTAAAATTCAGGAGACTTCAATTTACTAGCTAAATTCGATGTGTCGACTACATTCTAGCTGTTTTACATGTGAAAATCGAACATCTCATGATTTAGATCCTTTGAATGAAACATGCAATTATTCTTGAAGAGCGCTCACGAGTTATTTCATATTGTTTGATATATAAATACAATTACGTCACAGCTGTAAGTAAAATAAAATTCGGGATACGTTGAAGTCATTTCGAGTGAATTGAATGGAAAAAGCACTTTTCCATATGTTGAACAGTTGGTTTCACGTTGATAGAAGACGGCATTTCGCTTTCATTTCTATCCTATAAAATACGTTTACTAAAACGTATAACTAAAATTCCTCTCAAATAACAGTGATATGTCTTCTTTCTTCAGTATTTTGAACCACAATTTTAGTGTCATTTTGATGAAAAGAACTCATCAATTTAAACTGTTTTTTGTACCCTCATGATATTTGTGTTAGCATAAGTATGTAGTGAAGTTAATTATATATTTGTCTATCAACTTCTTGCAGTTATCAGAATGTAGAACCAACACATCATGATACCTTGTGACAATTATATTAGACTTTTGTAAACACTTGTGACTTTTAATGTCAACATGAGATGAGATTTAGACAGAAATGCACCCATAGCAAATATTAACAGATGTAAAAGTTGTGGAACACCAGATTCCCATTCATTGAGAGGTTGGATAGTTTTCGCTTCTATGACTTGTGGGTTTATCACTGTGCACTGCGGAAGAGTTCATAACTATGATGAAACATCCGTTCACTGATCTTCAATCTATTATGCTTTCCCAAATGATGCCACTTTAAGACAAAAATTAAGCTCAAAATAAACAGCACTCCTAAATAACCAACAATGTAGAGACAATATAAGAACACTAATGATATCCATCCTTATCGTTTTGCTATTTCTTTCATCATCATGACAACAGGCTTCATTTCACCACTCATTAATATTCATTAATAGAATACATGTGTCAATTAAAGTTATTATTTTAATCATTCAAATCCAAAGATGAATTATAATTTGTTTTGATGAAAAGTACCTAGCTGCAAATCTCCTTTCAAATTAATTCGTCCAAACATATCACTTATATGCTTAGATAATCAAGCGTGATATTATCACAACATAATTTCTTTCTCTAAATCTGTGTACAAGATTATATCGGTTCACTATGCTCTCTGAATGTAATTAACAAATTAGAAATACACATGAAATGGCACAGCTTTATTCATAACGATTTTGACTGACAGACATCATTTCTGAGTTAGGATAACTGATATTGGACTAACTGATTGATTGATTTAATAATTGTCATGGTTGAAAGAATATCATAAATGTTACAGTAATTTTATGCAACAAATTTTTTAAATGGACTTTAACATAATTACTTCCATTTTTAAGAGACTTGAATGAGCTAACAAAATTCAACTGTAAATTCATATTAACTCATTATTTTCCTATCACACGATTACATAAACTAAATCATTGATCCCAATGTAATTCGGTGAGGAAAATTATGCAGTGACTTATAACGCATAATCTACATAATCTACTATTCGGACGGAATTAATATGCACTAGACAACATAACAACAATCTTAGCATAACTCATTACTTTGAATTTTACTTATAAAAATAACTGCTTAGATTTAGATAAAACGATAAATCAGAAAAACACAGACGACAATTTAATAGAACCAAACATTTATTCAACTGTTTGGTTTGTAAAAATGTGTTCAGATGAAAAACAACCCTAATCATAAACTGAGACCAGTTGATGAACTACTGAGAACCATCGAACACTAAATGTGTATTTCGTTTTAATTTCAGCCACTTTTATGGTCAGTAATCAATGTAGAGCCGATAACATTCAGGTCTTGCAATCTGTTGACCATCAAGTTATAATTCAGTGATTCGATGATAAAATAAATAAAAATTCAATCGGACTGTTGACTAATGTGGTGTGTACTACTTGTACGGACAGATGTAAATAGTATGTAACAGGAACTGGAAGCAAACGTTTTAGGATCAGAAAAGGAAAGTGAAGAGAACAAAAAGAATAAAAGCAGAATACAGTCAAAATGGAAACAGGAATGGAAGAACGATGGAGTTTGTATGGGAAAACTCAAGGAAGAT